CTTTTTCTTTAAAAAAAAAATAAGATTGGTTAGCTTTTTTAAAAAAAGACAAACCGAGAAACAAGATCTGGAAGTTGAAGCAAATCCTCTGATTCTCTTGGTAACAGAGCCAAGCCACCGAAGGGCAATCGGTATCAGAAATTATGCAAAGCTTTTAATTAAAAATTGCCCACGAGCAAAGGAGGTTAGCTGTCTTCCTGCCAGGGGCTTCTTGGAAAACTTTTCAAAATGCTGCAAATTGGATTGCACTGAAATCTAATAGTGGAGCAGCAGACTGAGTGATATCGATTGACAGATTTTTTTTTTTAATAAAAACAATGAAAGACAGCAATGAGAGGGAAAGTATATTTTTCCTGTCTCTCTCTCCCTCTCCCTCCCTCCCTCCCACCCTCCCTCTCCTCTCTTCCTCTCTCTCACCCTCTCCTTCCCTTCTTCCCTCCCTCCCTCTCTTCCCCTCCCTCTCTCTCCCTCTCTCTCTCTCTCTTTCTCTCTTGAGCTAAGCTGAGCTGAACTACCAACAAAGACAGAACTTAGCAATAGCTTTTAGCAATAGCAATAGCACTTAAACTTGTGGACTTAGAGAGTGCTTTACAATGGTTTACAGTGTCAGCATCTGCTGCCCCAACAATCTGGGTTCTCATTTCACTAACCTCAGAAGGATAGAAGGCTGAGTCAACCTTGAGCTGGTCAGAATCAAACTACTGGCTGTGGGCAGGAAAAGTTAAGGTCCAGTTCGGAGAACCCCAAATCCCAATCCTGGCTGACCCCACCCACCCCACCCCTCCCAGGAGTCCTCACGTGGCACGTTTCAGATGCAGGGAAGTGCAGGGTGCACACGGAGGCTTGGGGAGGGCAAAATTGGGCCTACCGAAAGTTCGGGAAGGCTGGCAACAGGCCCATTTCTGGCCTCTGGAGGGCCTCAGGAACTTGACGAGGCCGTTTTCGGCCTCCCAGAGGCTCGAGAAAAGCCTCCGGAGCCTGGGGAGGGCAAAAATGCCCCCCCATGGTGCAGGAGGCCAACTAGGCCACGCCCACCATGGCCACACCCACCCAGCAACCGGGCAGAGAACCCCTTGCTAAAATTTTTGAAGCCCACCCCTGGATATGATTAATCTTGCTATCCATTTGGTTAAAAAAAGAAAAGAAAAGAAAGAATGCCTGTCTTTTCCAGATATAACCACTAGGCAGCTTCATCCAAGAGATGAATGGGATGTAAAAGCAGAAAGTATGGAAATAATGGTTTGAATTAAGACCGGGAAGTTCTGGGTTCAAACCTTTACCCGGTGATGAAATTCGCGGTGCAGTTTAGACTAATCCTATTTTCAGAATCTTGACTTTGGAGGAGCGCAGAGCATAAAAGTTGGCAAGGAAAAGAAACATGTATGTTGCCCCAAGGAACAGTAATCAATAAAGAAGTCGTACCACATCAGCCAAAGGCTTATCCTACCCAGCATTCTGCATTTCGTGCTTACTGACTCGCACGTTATTTAATTGTCCTTGAGGCCCTATGTCTAGATTTATTTATCCCATATGGGTTTATTTGTTTTTAACTTGGTATATGTATAGCCTATCCAGAAAATGTATTATCTTCCTATAATGGAAATTGTCAAGGTGAATCTTGCTTCCTGTAGCCAAAGACAACATTGGTTCACATCCTATTAATCAAGAAATGCTGGAATCATGCCATCTTGTCTTAGTTTCCTGGAAGCTCTGTGCTAACTCAGTTCTATATATTTTAAAAAGACAGAGTCCTATCAGTTGCTCTGGGGTGTGGGGGCTAATTCATTCTCAAGAATTAGCTGTTTAAAAATAGCCAATTATTTGTATTTATTTATAATATATTTATGTATATTTCAGTTTATCTAGATGGTAGAGTTTATCATCCATCTATCTATCTATCTATCTATCTATCTATCTATCTATTATCTCTCTCTGTTTATCATCTATCTATCCATCCATCCATCCATCCATCCATCCATCCATCCATCTATCATCTCTATTTATTTATCTATCATCTATTATCTCTATCTATCTATCTATCATCTCTCTGTTTATCTATCTATCTATCTATCTATCTATCTCTATCTATCTATCTATCTCTATCTATCATCTGTTTATCTATCTCTATCTATCATCTCTCTGTTTATCTATCTCTATCATCTCTATTTATTTATCTATCATCTATCTATCTATTTCTATCATCCCTCTCTATTTATCTATCCTCTCTCTCCCTCTCCCTCTCCCTCTCCCTCTCCCTCTCCCTCTCTCTCTCTCTCTCTCTCTCTCCCTCTCTCTCTCTCTCTCTCTTGCTTTCTTTTTGCTTTCTTTTATTCTTTACCATTCAGAATTTTAAGGATAGGAGTAAGAATCAGAAGCTCCTAGGAACTGATTTTCTGCCACACTGGTTTTGTGTGTCTTTTCTGCCATCTAGGGGTCATGTATGTTATTGCAGACCATAGATTGTAGATCCAAGCTGTAGCTCTGTAGCGCCACCATCAGGTGGCGTGCTGCTTTCCTTTTGCAGCAAGCTTTTGAGATCTTAAATTTCACCTACTTGTTTTCTATTCGATGCAGTGGCAGGCAATGCAATGCAATGCACATTGGGTGACCTGGCTTCCGTTCTTGTTTTTAAAATGTTGATTTAATTAGAAATACAAATTAAAAGGGAAGCCGAGATGCTGCAAAAAAGCAAGATGCCTCTCATATTACCTTGATTTGAAGAATCTCTTTGAACTCTTTGCACCTGTCATGGAGGCATTCTCAAAGGTTAAAAAACAATGGCTTTGTTTGGAATTAAATCCTTTGGAATTAAACCCTCCTGCCTAAAAGGAAGGACAGAGACAACAAGGAAGAATTTGTGATGGGTAGTACATTTTAGAAAGCATTTGTGCCTTTTGGCAAATGGATGTTTTGTGACGGGCCATGCCCACTGCAGTAGCAATTTTGTAAATACACTTACCGTATTTTTCGGACTATAAGACGCACCAGAGTATGAGATGCACCAAGATTTCAAAGAGGAAAACAAGAATAAATAGTTGTTGGCCTCTGCGCATCATGTTTCTGCCCTCCCCAGCCCCCAGGAGCCATTTTGCAGAGGGTTTGGGAGGCCTGCAGAGTGCTCCTGGGGGCCGGGAAGGGCAGAAACGCGATACATGGGGAATTTGGGAGGCCAAAAATGGCTGTATTTGGTGTATAAGATGCACCAACATTTCCACCCTCTTTTAGGGGAGAAAAAAAGTATGTCTTATACTCTGAAAAGTACGGTGATCCTTGTTTAGCAACTGCCTCATTTAGCAACCATTTTCAGGTTCAGCAGTGATGAAGAAGTAACTTTCCAAGCAATCCTCTCATTTTGTAGGCCTGTAAAGCAAAGCAAAGCTCAAGTCAGGTCATAAACGCAGTCATGGTTTCATTCAGTAACTGCTTCACTTAACAGTCATGTTGCTCGTCCTCAATGTGGTTGCTAAACAAGGATTACCTATAGTCAAAGCTCCTGCACATGCAGACAGACAGGTAATCTATGAATGGGTGGAGCGATCTGAAATTCTCACCATTCCAGCTGTGTTCTTTGTCCCCCTCAAAGGGTTGACGCTTCCTGGATTCTTCATTTTGAAACATCTCCATCTCTAGACTTCAAATTTTGAGGTGGTGAATGGATGCACTTTCTGTATATAACTTTGTTTTTAGGCTGAATACATTATCTTGCCACCTCTATTTTTTACCATGTGATGTTTTTATTCTCCTACACATCCCATCACTCTCTATCTCTACCTCTACCTCTACCATGACACAAAGGTGCTTTTTCAAGAGGCAATTGGACTTCCTTATTCTTCTTTGAAGACGTTTCGCTTCTCATCCAAGGAGCTTCTTCAGCTTGGATGAGAAGTGAAACGTCTTCAAAGAAAAACAAGAAAGTCCAGTTGCCTCTTGAAAAAGCACCTTTGGGACAACCATGACCTGGATGACTGAGAATCTCAATAGTGTCAACTTGCAAAGCTTTCAAGTTGCCATGAGCAGGAGGGAGGGAGAACTGAAGTGAATTCCATACATTCTTCCTGACCGCAATCAGAAGGAGGGTGTTAGGTTTCACAGCCAGCCAAAGTGGTTAATTGGAGAATGTGATTTATGACATGGCCAGAGAGGAGGGGAGAGACAGGGTCATAGGGGAACGTAAATCTACGTGGGATCAGTCCTAACTGCATCCGAGTATTGCCGGAATGTTGCTCCTAATAAATGACTGTATTTCCTTTGAAGTTTGGATCATGGCTCATGAATTAACTAGGGCATCTTTTGGAAACTTGACACATAGACATCTATCTCTACCATCTTTATCCCTCTCTATCTCTTACCTCTATCTCTATTTATTTCTCTCAGTTTCTCTCTATATCTACCTATCTATGATTAAGGGACTGGAGGCCAAAACATATAAAGACCTGTTGTAGGAATTTGACATGTCTACTTTAATGAAAAGAAAGATAAGGGGTCACAGGATAGCAGTCTTCCAATATCTAAGGGGATATCACAAAGGAGAGGGGGTCAATCTAATCTCCAAAGCAGCTGAAAGCAGGCTAAGATGCAATGCATTGAAACTAATCAAGGAGAAATCTAACTTAGAATTAAAGAGAAATTTCCTGATGGTGGGAACAACTAACCAGTGGAACAGCTGGTTTGCAGAAGTTGTGGGGGCTCCATCACTTGGGGTTTTTAAGAAGAGATTGGACAACCGTTTGTCTGAAATGGGATAAGGTCTCCTGTTTGAGCAGGAGGTTGGACTAGAAGACCTCAACAGTCCCTTCCAGCTCTGTTGTTCTATTATCTCTTTTTCTATCTATATCTCTATCGTTTTCATGTTGTTCTCTTCCAAACCACAAGGTAATTGACCAATAATTCTGTCCTAAACGCTATGCCAATAATTTCCAAACTTGTGCCCAATTAAACTTCATTTTTTCTCTCCTTCCCTCCTCTGATATTTTCCTTTTCCTTCGTTCTCTTTTCCCTAGGTACAGAACCTATTTATGCTACTCACTCATTCTTCTGTACGCTCCTCTTCATGCTGCATAAGCTTGTACACTTGTTATTAAACCACTGATGGACTCCTTTATCCAATAATCCTCAGCCAAATGGATGAGACCATGATTAGAACAAAATGAAGAAGGCAACAACCCTCAACAAGAACTACAATCTTAAAAGATGGACAGAGAAAGACTGGGAAGGAAGCATGACACATCCTACAGGGGAAGGGTAAAGCATATTTTTGGGGACATTACATGAAAGGCTTGTCACCTGACATGATAAATTTAGTTTTAAGATCCTGTGGCATCAATGCCCTATTTCACACAAGGTAGCTATAATTTTCTCTTTTTCTTTTGCAATTGTTTTCTTTTTTTAAAAAAAAAATCTTTCCTCTGGTAATTAATTTTGCACGAACTGTTGAACAGAAAGGTTTCTGAAGAAAGGTTCTTTTTTTAATAGATACTTGTGGTTAGGATTATTATTATTATTATTATTATTATCATTGCCTCCCTCTCCACTCTCCTCTTTTTAAATTATTTCTTTTTGAAAACATTGATTTTAAAAAAAAGGCACATCTTACCGTGATGGATATTCACTGTCAATAATATTTATTTTTAAATAGAAAAAAAAAATAAAAGATTGGAAACAAGGTAAGACATTTGTTTATAAACTGTATTGTATATTGCTGAATAACAGTTGAATAATAAAAAATGGAGATTTTGAAATAAGGGGTTGTTTTTAACCAAGATCTAAAATGCCATCTTTTCACCCTGATATTGGTTTTCTAGAAGAACAAAAATTGCTAAAGGATTTTTCTTCTTTTTATAGGGGGGAAAAAAACCACACCAAGTAGCTTGTTCTTGGGCAGAGTGTAATAAATCAGTGATTGTGGGTCAGGACCATGGAAAGCTCCTAAGATTGCATACTGAATATAACTCAATAATAAGGCAGGAATTTGGCTCAATGTCTGAATTGATCATTACAGAAATAGATGATATCTCGCAAGAAGTGGTTCTTGCCCATAACAACTAGTTTCTGAGCTGTGCAATAGCTTGCTATTCACATTTTCTGTTCCAAATTATCTTGGACATCCTTTCATATTTGCCCGTAGCTAATACATTTACAAGGGATGTAACTGTTCCCCATTTGATTGCTGCATTGTGAAGACTGAATGAACAGATCTCACCCAGCTGATAGAGTGGTTTCAGTTTCAAAAACATGGTTTTTATGCTTTTGTTAAAGACACCCAGTACTCCCAGCCCTTGACAAGTCCTTAAAACGCTGAGTGCTCTTTGAACAAGTTGTTTGAAACCAAAGAAAGAGTCCCTGGTATAAACCACTTCTGAATCCTTCTAATATTCCTTGACAATGCCTTTGATTGAGGAATTGTGAAGGCTACTAACCCACAATGCTTCAGCTCTTGGTTTTTGGCTAAAACCAAAGTGCCTTGGAGATGGCAGCAACTGTGAGACTGGCTCCCACAAAAGACACTGTGTTTAGACTCACAAAGTAAGCCCCATCTGATTCGCACTGTGAGCTGAACCCTTGAATAAAACCTTAGTAAGGCCACACCTGGAATACTGCATCCAGTTTTGGTCACCACGTTACAAAAAAAGATGTTGAGACTTTGGAAAAAGTGCAGAGAAGAGCAACTAAGATGTTTAAAGGCCTGGAGTGTAAAACACATGCAAGGTTTGGGTATGGTTAGACTAGAGAAAAGAAGGACTAGGGGTGACTTGATAGCAGTATTCCAGTATTTGAGGGGCTGCCACAAAGACGGGGGGGGGGTCAACTTACTTTCCAAAACACCAGAGGGCAGGACAAGAAACAATGGATGGAAACTAATCAAGGAGAGAAGCAACCAGGAATTAAGGAAAAACTTCCTAACAGTGAGAACAATTAACCAATGGAACAGCTTGCCTTCAGAAGTTGTGGGTGCTTCATCACTGGAGATTTTTAAGAAGAGACTGGACAGCCACTTGTCTGAGATAGTATAGGGCCGTGATAGCAAACTTATGGCACGTGTGCCACAGGTGGCACGCGGAGCCATATCTGTGGGCACACAGGCGTTGCCCTAGCTAGCTCCAGCGTGCATGCGTGCACCAGCCAGCTGATTTTCAGGCCTTCCAGTCCCACCGGAAGTGGGGAAATGGGCCATTTCCAGCCTCTGGTGGGTGGGGAAAGCTGTTTTCGCCTTCCCCAGGTTCCTAGAAAGCCTCTGGAGCCTGGGGAGGGCGAGAAACGGTCCCACCGGAAGTCAGGAAACAAGCTGTTTTCAGCCTCTGGAGAGCCTCAGGGGGGTGGGGAAGGCTGTTTTTGCCCTCCCCAGGCTCCAAGAAAGCCTCTGGAGCCTGGGGAGGGTGAAATACGGGCCTACCAGGCCCACTGTGCCATTGTGTGCCAAAAGTTGGGGGAGCACGAGGGGTACCGCATGCATGCGTGGGGGTGAGGCTGATTGAATTATGGGTGTGGGCACGCGTGTGCATGACCCCCCCCACTCTCCCCCGATTTTGGCACGCGACAGCAAAAAGGTTAGCCATCACTGGTATAGGGTCTTGTAGTTGAGCAGGCAGTTGGACTAGAAAATCTCCAAGATCCTATCCTATCCTATCCTATTCATATGGGGCACATATAGAACCTGGAAATTCACATCAGAACTCTGTGCTCCCCATGCAATAAATGACTATTTATTGCATTACTATACTTCAGCCAAAAGATGAGGGTTGATATGAAGGCATACCTTTTGCTATGTCCTTAAAATCTTAACAGGAAAGATTTGGGGAGTGGGGGGAGGTCGTTGTTTGTTTATTTCTAGCAACCAGATGGTCTCCAGAGGCCCTTAGTCCTCTCAACCCAATCTACCCTTTCAAATTACAGGTTCTGGATGAATGCTGATTTGATCCACATTTTCTGAAAAGAATCACATGGCTAGATCTGAATAAATTGTCCTTGACTTTCTGTTTTCTCTCTGCATTTACATTCTACATATTAGTCACAGAATCAATTATCTGCGTAAGGAACTGACATCAATTAAAAGGTTTTGTGTGTGTGCTGGAAAACCATATGTAATAATTGGGTGAAAGGGGCTCTATCCCACTCCTACCCTCACGCCCCGCTGAGCTTTTAATCGTATTAGTCGACCAGAAGGACATGGAGGTATCAATCCAAGGTAATGAGGGAATGTGTGTTTGTTTGTGCATGCGTGAAAAAAAAATCAACAATAATCACATCAGAATTCAACTGTATTGTGGAGAATATAACTGTGGTGTCAAAAAAAAGAACAAGGAAAAGGTTGAAGTGATCTGAAAAAGTGGAAGCAGGGAAGGTTTCTACCCTTGGTCATCTCTGAGCCAGGGGTGGGTTGCTACCGCTTTGCCCTGGTTCGGGCAAACTGGTAGCGGCAGTGGTGAGAGGCTCCGCCCACCCACCCAGACATCATCAAAAACGCTCTGTGTATGTAATAGCGAACTGGCAGCACCGGGATTTGAAACCCACTCCTGCTCTGAGCATGTCTAGTTAAAAGCTGACTTTGTATAAAAATATACAAAAGTATGAAGGCTATTTCTTAACGCATCGTAAGCCGCCCTGAGTCTCCGGAGAAGGGCGGCATATAAATTAAATTTAAAAAAAAAAAAGAATTGGATCCCATGAATTGGGTAAGGTCATTCTATCTGAAGCTTTGGAGAGCCACCACTAATCAATGATAGTAATATTAAATTTTACAAAGCCTAGATTTAACCCATGTAACAACTCTACAAGATAGGTGAGGATAAGATGGACTGCTTGGCTTAACATTGACACGTGTGTTGAAAATGAAATTATGTGACCAAGTGGAATGTCTGGATTAATGGCTCTAGGTCGACTCTCTACTACTCAATCTTCTCCAAAATTGGAATCTTCAGGATGGTTGGAACAGAGACATAGAATCAAAATCATGTGAAATATTAGTACCACTTTATAAATCTTTAGTAAGACCATACCTGGAATACTACATCCAGTTTTGGTCACCATGTTACAAAAAAAGATGTTGAGACTTTGGAAAAAGTGCAGAGAAGAGCAACTAAGATGTTTAAAGGCCTGAAGTGTAAAACACATGAAGAAAGATTGCAGGAATTGGGTATGGTTAGACTAGAGAAAAGAAGGACTAGGGGTGACAGGATAGCAGTATTCCAGTATTTGAGGGGCTGCCACAAAGAAGACGGGGTCAACCTATTCTCCAAAGCACCTGAGGGCAGGACAAGAAACAATGACTGGAAACTAATCAAGGAGAGAAGCAACCTAGAATTAAGGAGAAATTTCCTGACAGTGAGAACAATTAATCAGTGGAACAACTTGCCTCTAGAAGTTGTGAGTGCTCCAACACTGGAAGTTTTTAAGAAAAGACTGGAGAGCTACTTGTCTGAAATGGTATAGGGCTGTGATGGCGAACTTATGGCACGTGTGCCACAAGTAGCATGCAGTGCCCTCTCTGTGGGCACGTGAGCCATCGCCCCAGTTCAGCTCTGCCACACATGCACGCATGCCTCCCACTGGCCAGCTGGTTGTTAGGTCTCTGCCATGCATGCACGGGGGGGCAGGGCACCTGTCAGGGGGCCACGCACATGCATGGGTTGGAGCATGTGCGGGGGCCCGAGCGCACATGCACGGGGGTGGGGTGCATGCCTGCATGTGGGGGGTGCATGCAGGGGAGTGCATGCAGGGCGCCACACGCTCATTGCATTTTGAGGTTCGGGCACGCACGCACGCATTCACACACACACACGCTTTGGGCACTTGGTCCGGAAAAGGTTAGCCATCACTGGTATAGGCTCTCCTGCTTGAGCAGGGGGTTGGACTAGAAGACCTCCAAGGTCCCTTGTAGCTCTATTCTGATTTATTGGAATTACAAGTTTTCTCAGCCAATAGGTACCAAACTGAAGAAGGTGATTGCAATGGTGTATCCCACTGAATTTTATACTGGGTCATCCTATTCTTGCCAATGCAGGTAAGAAGTAAAGTCCATTGTATCCGATAGCCCTTTCATCATTGAAAGGATCCCATTCATAGGATTCATTCATGGGCACAAATTTTGAGCAACCAAGCTTCGTCTTATTCGCTGTGCACAGGTAGCTTTGCTTTTAGTTTTAATGGTGGGGAATTTTGGACTCCACAATTCAACCCTGAGCTACAAATATTATCTTCTGGAAAAATGTGTAGCAAGATCTCTTCTTTATTGTTATCTTTCTAGACAGTTGTCAACCCTGAAGTGAGCCTGGCTGAAGCCACCTTGGAGGCTCCAAAGTTGCCACACAGCAGTGGGAGCAGGGAAATAGTTAGATGGGGTTTTGTAGCCATAACAATAAAGTTTTCCTGTGGGAACCAAGGACATTCTCACAAGTAGCTGGCCAGAGGAGGAGCGAAGTAACTAAGCAACCGATTGGACAGTGTAACCAGTGACTTGGGGCGGGGGGGAGGAAAGGGAAAATGTTTACTTTTTAATTAGGTAAAAGCCACTGGAAACCTCAGAGTCGGCTTTCACCAGTTCGTGCCAATATGCTGTATCCAAAAAACTGTTCTTTTGTGGAACTTGAGTGCCTTCGACCTTGGGGGTCTACGTCTGAGCAAACATGCATAGAATTGTACTCTTCCCTGAGTTTCCCTGAATTTACTAGGAGAGTGTCAACTGCAAAGTACTTAAATTTGCTAGAGACATCCTCATTACTTTTTACCTGGCTGTGAATTT